AAAAAAAAAAAAAAAAAAAAAAAAAAAAGCACCAAACATATTTGTTAAGTGATGAAGAGGGTTCAGAATCACTTTGTAGCTTTTTTTCCATACTCAGGGATCAAACTCAAAACCTTGAGCTATAGAGGCAGGCACAGTGCCACCGAGCTAAACCCTTAGTCCACTCTGTAGTTTCTTGAATTTTGGCTCACTGAAATACTTAAAAAACATTTAAAGAAGAAATTAGTAAGACTTTTATTAATATTCTTATAGATTCTTACACCTGTTCTGTGTTAGCCACAGTAGAGTTTGGAAATCAGCCTAGAAAACGGAGAGGTGGTGTAGGTGAAAGAACCCAGGATAAACCGGTGTGGTGGTACACACCTGCTATCTCAGCACTATGGTAGGCTAAGGCAGGAGGATCTAAAATTCAGGCCAGCCTGGCCAATTTAGCTACCTTAGCAATTCTCTGTCTCAAAAAACAAGAGCAAAACAAAAGAAAACAACTGGAATATCTCAGTGTGAAGGCCCAGGTTCAATCCTCAGTCCTTAAACAAACAAACAAACAAACAAACAAACAAACAAGAAAGACATTCAAAGGTGGTTGACTTCTAAGACTCCCAAAGAAAATCGAATCCTAGGAGAGTTTATAGAAAATACTAGTGTTTTGGAAAACAAACACTGGAAAAGACTTCTGAATACCGGCAAGCTGGGCAGCACTGAGTCAAACAACTTTTTGCGGTGCATGTTCAGTACATGTCTCAAAGGTTTTATTGAAAAAACCTACTTTAGAATATATTTTATTGTAGTATAAGATGCATGCTCATGGTCAAAGATGTAGAATGCCCCTTCGGGCATTAGGGTCGGGACCTCGTAGGACTCCCCAAAGGCTCACTGTGTTGAGTCTCAGTTGCTGATGGGCTTTTGGGAAGTGAAGGCACTAACTTCAGTGGATTAATTTATAATTTGATGGCGTTATTGGTAGGGGATGGAGATAGCAGACAGGGCCCACCTGAAGGGAGTAGATCGGGGGGTCATGACCTTGGGGACATTTGTCCCTGGAATCTTCCTCTCTGGCTCTTTCCTGTCTCTGCTCCCTGGCTGCCATGAGGGCAGCAGCTCTCCTCCATCGCTCCTTTCCGCCGTCATGTTTCTGCCTCTCCACAAGCTGACAATCAATGGAGCCTAGACCCTGGACTACAACCTCTGAAACTCTGAGCCAAAATGAATCTTTCCTCGTTTAAATCGCTATTCTCAGGTATTTTGTCAGTGAGGAGAAGCCGACTAACATATCCTGCATAGAAACTCACTGTGATCTCTCAGAAGACCACTGAATTCTTCCACCTCTTTTTGGAAAAGCTCCCCACGAAGCCTGAGCTGTTCCCATACCCTTCTGACAATCCATACCGAGAAGTTGGCAAAGAGAAGCAAGCAGAAGTCTATGAAGCACTGGGAGAGGGTGTCTTCTGCCAGCAGCCCAGATCCAACTGAGAGGCCGTGGCCAGGTGCCCATGAAAGGGTCACTGTGGTTTGAATGTGTCTCAGCGTGAGGGCTGGGAACCTTAATTCCTCCACACAGCAGTGGTCGGGGGAGAGGCCTTGTGGGAGAGGCGTGGGTCATCATGAATGGACCTATGATTTTCTCCCAGGAATGGCTGAGCTGCTGGGCGGCTTCAGCCCCCTTTTCTCTCATGTGAGCTTTTTCTTTCCTTTCAACTTCCACCACATTGGGAGGCAGCACAGGGCTTTCTCTCTCCAGACACAGCTACCTATGGTGGCCTCCAGATCAAGAGCAAAGTAAATGTCTTCTCTCTCTAAGTTACCCGTCTCTGGTATTCTATGATAGCAACATAAAATGGGTTCAACAAGGTATTAATAAATATATACTCTGGCTTTACCCCTACTTCTGGCAGAGGGGACTCCTGGGATCTGCTGGCCCTCAGGTAGCAGCAGGGAGGAGCAGGGAGGACGAAGGTGGGAGAACCCTGCACCCCCCGGAATAGGGGGATCCTATTCTGATGACTTTATCCAATCTCCCAAAGGTTACATATCCAAATAGCATTTAATGTATGCATTTGGGGGTTAAGTTTCCAGGACACAAACTTTTGGGAGAAACATTCAAACCAAGAAAGAAGACATATTCATTACGATTGGTGTAACAATAAAATAGCTAAATAATGTGTGACATCATCATAAGTGTCTACTTAATGTAGCTCGGGGAAGACTGCTGCCAGGGACGCAGGGTCAGAGGGCCTGAGGTTTTCTTGGAAATGCTGTGCACTAAGTTTTCAGTCTCCTCTTCTACAAAATACGAATGCAGGAAATAATAATAATAATAATAATAATAATAATAATACATAATTTGAGGGATTCTGGGGGATAAGAGAATAAGGACAGTAATAGCAGACACTCATATAGAACCTACCATGTGCCGGGCACTTTTCTAAGCATGTAGCATATGTTAACTAACCTAAGATCATGATGTTCTAATCACCCCCATCCTACAGGTGAGCTGCTGAGAGTACAGAGAAGCTGAGTAACTGGCCCAACCACACAGCTAAGAAGTGGCCAAGGTAAGGTTGGAACCCGGGCAGTTCAGTAGTGTGTGTCTGAAGAAGGCTTTGCAACTAGAAAATGCTACCTAAGCCGGGTTATGATCTGTTATTGCTGTCAATGAAGGGCTCCTAGTGGCAGCCTGGCCTGTCAGATCTCTGAGGTCCCTGGCAGGAGGCTTCCTGCCAATGGAAGGGGCTGAAGGAGACTCCTGGGAACAGGGGAGCTGTGCTTTGTCTTTTAGAAATCAGGTGGTACCTTCATTTGAGTCTGCTGCCAGTGACGAGGCCATGCAAAGCAGCTCAGGGAAAGCAGCTTCACTGTTCTTCAATGAGAAGCGCGCGGAGGCCTCCCAGGTGACTGCTCAGATGAAGTCCTGGGAAAAGTTCTTGCCATCTCATCTCTGCACTCTTGGGACACTGGGTGAGCCTCAGGTAAAACGGATCAGGCTTCCTGTGGAGTGGGAGTGGGTGGGGTGTCCAAAAAAGGGACCGCTGGGCAGGCAAACATCATGTGCACCACAACCTCTCCGCTCCTGCGGTCCACAGGTCAGCTCTGGCAGCAGCACTGGGGAGCTCTGAGAAATGCATGGGCCCCGCAGGGCCTGTGGAGGCCAAACTTGCATTCTAACAAGATCCCAGGGGATTCCCGTGCACAAGGAGGTCTGGGAAGTGTGGGGAGGTAGAGAACTTTCAGGAAGAGACACAGTTTCTCTTCTCTGTCTCACTCCTCCTCTTCTTCTCCTGCGTAGGTTCTTGTGCATTTAGTACATTCTATTCTGAGTTGTCTCATAGTAAGTGTACATAGGGAGTAGAGTGTGATATTTCCACGTGTACATGCTATGTTCTGATCAGATCAGAGTAACTGGCATCTTCATCACCTTGGACAAACCTCATGTGACACGCAGAGTCCTGTCCACTAGCTCTTCTGGAGTAGAGAATGAGTTGTAGCCAGCCCTTCTCCTCTTCTGCATGGCCGTGTGCATGGCGTGTTTAAATTGCTGCTCCCATCAAGAAAATTGTCCCAGCCAAGAAATATGGAAAAGACGGGCAGGGAGGAGTAGTGCTACTCTCAGGTCTCCACAGGAGCCCACACTTCACAGGGCTCCCTGCTGTGGCCCTGCTTTGGCCATGAGTGTCCCATTGGCTGAGCCCATGGGCACAAGGGCAGTGTCCACCTGTGTCTGCCCCCGTCCTCCTAGACCCCACGCCCAGTGCTTGGGATCCGTTAATTCCCTGAACAAGTATGCTTTCTGGAGGTGCACGTGGGGCTCTTCCCTGTCGTTGGACTCTGGGCACCTGGATCCAACTGCTGTGAGCGGTGTGACCTCAGGCTGAGAAGAGCAGAGCTGGCTGCCCCCAGTGTGCTCACCTGAGGTGGGACAGGTGGTCCTCTTCCCAACCCCGGCTGTGATCCCGGTTCCTCCCCCTTCTCTCATGGCCCTTCCCTCACCAGAAGGCTCTTAGCAATGTTGGAGGAAGGGAAAAAGAAGGGCTCAAACGGAGCAGCCTGTGGGAATCTGGATGACCCACTCGGTCTCCAGCGTTGTCACCTCTTACAGAGCTCTCACTTTTCTTTGTTCTCATAGGCAAACATCTTCTACCTGTGCCACTGGCTATCTTGGCACTGAATCTTCATCTGGTCTATTCTGTGCCTGGAATGTGGCTGAGGTGTCCTTGATGAAGCCCCTCGGGGTGCTGGATGATCCAGAGGGGAGACAACGCCAGTGGGCGCCAGCTGAGGCCTGACTTTTCTAGGTGCTCAAGACTGTCTACAGTTTCTTGGTACGGCAGGTGCTTTACCGATGATACCCATTAGATGTCGCTGTTGTCATGTTGGAAATCCTGTACCGGACTTCTATCAGAACCATTCCCCACCATGCTTTGATTTCATTAGTTTTACAACATAAATGTGTCCATTTTTAAGTCAGAGGGCAGATTTTTCTCTATAAATTCATGGGATCCTTATTTCCACGTTGTCACTGACTTCCCATTACTTTGTTGTTGTTTTTTCCTTTCCTGGGGATATGAGCTTCTCTGTGCATAGCAGGTGCGTACTTACTGTGCATAATTTGAATAGAATTGAAAAGGGGAAAGTTCCTGAGGATTTGAATTCTATTTTAGCTTACTACAGTATCATTTATTTTTTTCTTAAAAAATTAAATGAATGCTTTGATTCCGCAGGGATTCTCAACGGGTCTTACGCCAAGTTCAGGGTGCATTTGTGTAGGAAAAATCACTAATCCCTAGCAAAGAATTAGCATTTCCTCTGATTGTAGATGTAGGCTACAAACCACAGTGGTTGTAGTACTTGGGACTGCAGCACCAAGAGAAATCGCAAATTTTTAGCATTCTTTTGGTATATGGGGATCGAACTCAGGACCTTGCGCTTGCAAGGCAGGCATGGCACCACTGAGCTAAATCCCCAGCCCTGAGAAATTGCAAATTTTTATGTCACATGATTGCAGACAATTTCAAAATATCATTCACATTTATGTCTACTTTGAAATTAAGGACCATACTAGGTTTCCTTTTAAATCTTGTTTGTAAGCTGTTCAAAGGGAATCATATGAATGAATCTCTTACCAGTTTGCTTTAAAAGTATTTTGATATCTGCATTCTGTGGGATTAGTTTTCAGGATAGTCATATGTAGAGTGTTATCCTGAGGAGGGGATCATAAGCTTTCCCAGCTGGCAGTGGCAGGTGGAATAATGGCTCCCAGAGAGACGCCCACATCTCACCCCCAGAGCCCAGGACTCGTTAACATCACCTGGCAGGGGGAGGCGGAGGTTGCAGATAGCACGCAGATGGCCCATCAGCTGACGTGAAGATGCGCTGTTAGCCTGAGAGGCCAGGTGAGACCAGTGTAGCCACAAGTGCCTTAGTAAGTGGAAAAAGCAGGCAGGGGAGTTGGGGATCAGCCTCTGTGTGGTTTGGGTTGGGAAAGCCCTCCGCCAAAGGCCAAGTGCTGGAGGCTTTTGGGCTTTTGGGGAATGACCGGATCATGAGTGCTCCAACTGCACCAATAGATTCATCTATTAATGAGTTCATAGCTTGTTGGGCTTATTAGGGCATGGGGTCCGAATGGATGAGGTGGGTCATGGGGGTGTCACCTGGGGGACTGAATCTGCTCCTGACCCTGTTCTTTCTGGCTCTTTCCCTCTCCTTCTGCTTCCTGGCTGCTGAAAGGTGAGCGGTTTCCCTCCATCTCAGCCTCCTGCCATGATGTTTTTGCTTCACCTAAAAGCAACAGAAACAGGTCATCATGGACTGAACGTTCTGAAACCATGAGCCAAAAACAATCATGAAATCTTTCATCCTTTTGGGCTATTTACATCACATATTTTGTCACAGCAACGGCAAGCTGAGTAACCCAGAGATATGACGGAGATAGGTGTCATGGTGTGATTTCTGGCTTTGAGGTTAGAAAAAAGGCCATAAGCCAAGGGAACCTCTAGAAGCTGGAAATTCAAAAAACAGATTTTTCTCATGGTGCCTTTAGGAGGAATAGCCCTGTGGACAGCTGCATTTGAGACCCACACAACCCATTTTTTTACTTCTAACCTCCACAACTGAAGATAACTATGTATTGTTTAAACCACTAAGTTTGTGTAATTTGTTATAGCAGCAATAGAAAGCCAGATACACTGATGGAAGGGTCTATAGTAGCCCTGTGTGGAGACTCAAGGGCTTAAAAGAATGATCCATCTGCAGCGAAGGTAAAGTTGCTGGTGTATTGAAGAACCTTAAGACATTATCCCAATGTACAGGTTAAGAATTTTCATTTCATATAGTTTCTGTGAGGCAAGAATTTGGGAAGGACTTCGCTGGATGGTTTTGGTTCTGAGCCTCTGTGATGACGTCAGTGGGCGGGGACACGGTATCACCTGACCGCCTGAGTGGGCTGGAGACTCTGCTTCCAAGATGGCGCACGCACAAAAATGGCCGTAGCCGGGAGGCCTCAGTTCCTCCTTGCGCAGACCTCATACAGTGGATTGAATGTCCTTACAACATGGAAGCTGGCTTCCCTGTGAGTAGGTGACGGGGGGTGGGGTGGGGGCCAAAGCCAACTGCCTTTTACAGTCTAGCCTCAGAAATCACATTATCACGCTTGTTCTATTCCCTTAGAAGTGGGACCGTAATACAGGTGAGGGAAATCAGGCTCCATCTTCTGAAGGTAGGAGCATCAAAGAATGGTGGTTGTATTTCAGAACTATGCTGTCAGTTGTCTGTTTACTCCTTTAAAAAATTTCCATGAACAAATTCATACTAAAAGCTGGAACCAAGGAAATTTGGATAGAGTTTAAATGGCCAACAGACTAAATATAGAAAATGTTATTCTAATTTAATTTATCTAATTCATTAAAAGCCTTAATTTAATCTAATTAGTACTTAAATTTAAGCCAAAAAAAAAAATTAAGTCCCACTTTGTGGAAATGCTGTCATTATCAACTTGGCAATGAACCGTATGCTTTTCAAAAATAAACTTTTAATTTTAGAATAGTTTTACAGTTACAAAAAAGTTACCAAGAGAGTACAGAGAGATCTCATAAATCCAATTTCTGTGACTCTTAATACATTACATTACTATGGTACATCTGGCGCAACTCATGAACCAATAGTGATGCATTTATTATTAACTAAAGTATACAGTTTGCTTGGATTTCCTTCCTTTTGACTCAAATTCTCTCTCTCTCTCTCTTTTCCTGGAACAGCACATTTTAAAAGAGCATTCTATGTTTCCCTGGTGTCTTACCACTATCAGGACTTTTTTTGTTTGTTTTTTGAGACAGAGTCTTGCTATATAGTTCAGGCTGGCCTCGAACTCACAGCACTCCTCCTGCCCTAGCCTCCCAAGTGCTGGCATTACAGGGGTCTGCCACCATGTCCGGCTTATCAGAACTTTTTGAAAACAGCAACAAAAACAAGTGGAGTGAAAATAAAATCTCAGTATGGATTTGGATTTGAATTTTGCCTCTGTCTCAACCGAGTGTTTCTAGTCAAGTTACTTCTCTCTCATTTCAGTTTCCTTTGCTGTAAAATGGGAATGATTAGGTAGCACAGGAAGTTCTTGAAGAATAAACAAAATTCATCTGCATAAAGTGCCTTGGATAAGTTTTGACACATTAGCTAATGAGGCACAACCATTATTATTGCATTAAACTCAGGGTTTTGTGGGATCATCTGACCCAGAAGTAGATGACATCTTACAAAATGTGGTAAGTGCAGTGTCCCCATGTCAGACTGGGTTAGGGGATCCAGCTTCCTGAGGAGGTGACCTGGACAGAGTCCTGAAGGACCCAGGAGCGTTAGGGGGAGGAAGGGGCCAAGTGGCAGATGTGTCCCAGGAAGACGCAGAGTAGTCTACAGCTGCCCGCAGTGGCAAAGCACTACAGCTGCCCAGCAGCTCTGGAGGGTGGCCAGTGGCGTGGTGTGTGAGCCGGTAAGGCGCCAGAAGGCTCCCAGGCTGGAGTGGGGACTCGGCCTGTCCCCCTCTGTCGGTGGCAGTAGGGAGCTTCTGAGCACTTTCAGCAGGGGAAGGGCTCCAATCAGATTGTGGCTCCTAGAAACAGAGTTGACTCAGAAGCAGAACAGAGCTGGGTCATCGGGATTGGAGGCCCGAGTCCTGTTGACACATCAGCCTGACCTGGTGCAGTGCAAAAGGAAACGGGCAGGAAGGCTGTATTTGTTTCCTGGGGGTGCTGTAAGACATTGCCACAAACCTGGTGGCTCAAGAAAATTGAAATTTATTTTCTCACAGTTCTGGAGGCCAGAGGTCTGAAGTCAAGACGTCAGCAGGACCTCGCTTTCTCTGAAGGCTCTCAGAGAACTCTTCCTGGCTTCTTCTGACTTCAGCAGTTCCATAGTGGTTTTTGTTTTGTTTTTTATTTTGGTACTGGGGATAGAACTCAGGGACTTGCACTGGTGAGGCAGGCGGCAGAACCACTGAGCTAAATCTCTGACGCTTGGCAGCTTCACAACCCCTACGCCTGTCTCCATGCAGCAGCTCCTCTGTATCTGTATCCTTCCCTGGTACGAGGGTACCACTGTTTGGATTTGGGCCCACCCTAAACCCAGGATGATTTAATCTTGAATCCTTTAATAATTGAGATGCTGAGTACATAAGAAGTTTGGGAGACATTATTTAGCCTACTACAAAGGCAAAAAAAAAAAAAAAAAGATTGTAACAGAATCATTCACCAAATTTGAGTGAGGAGTGCAGCATCATGTAGCAGTGACTGTGTTAGGCCTTCGTCTTCTCCTCGCCTGAGCACACAGCTAGACTATATTTCCCAGCACCCCTTGTGGGCAGGTGTGACCATGTGATCCAGTTTTGACCAATGCATGGTGGGTAAATGTGATATAGCCCACGCTCAGAACTGTATCCTTGCCCATATAGTCTGGCTTTTTACTTTGTAGAAGTCTGGCTGGAATGGAGACCACACCAAAAGTACTTTCAGAGGCCAGATATTGAAGATGGTACAGTGAGAGGGCCTGTTCTTTGTACTTCCACCCTTTATTCAACGATGGGGAACATTGTTTTGGAGTTTCATGAATGAGATAAATTTCAATATGTTAAGGCTGTTTAGGGGTTATTTGCTGTGGCCATTATCTTAGCCTGACAAGGACAGCCTCTGAGGTTGACGATATGGCAGGGAACACTCCCAAACACAAATGGGTTTTAGCTTTAAACTTCTCACTTAAATTTGCAAAAGCCCCAGAGACAGTTTTGCCTGTGTGTTATGAAGAAATATAAAGCAAGCTGCGTGTGTAACAGAGGCCATGGCGGGACATTCTAAGCCGTTTTCCACAGCTCAGAAGTAGAGGGAAATTGACTGAAGTATAGGTTTATGTTCAAGCCTACTATACTTCATCAAACAAAGATGAAACTTATGTCATATCTTCCTTGGAAAGAAGTTAAATTAT